CATTTCTATGCTCCCCCTTCCATCTCCTGCCCCCCCCGCCCCCCCCCAAAAAATATCTGAGTGTCCAGAAGAAATGAGGAGGAACCTTAGAAACTGGGAGGGTTCCCAGGCTTCCCACTGAGGAAGCAGAAGCAAGCCTGATGCAATAAAGTTACTTAGAAATCTCAGGTTGCCAGTCTACAGGGTAGAGAAGTCCCCTAGCTACATGTACAGGCATCTTGGTCAGACTTTGGTTCTGCTGGGTGGGTGCTGACACACATCTGAGGACCATGGACACTCACTAGGCAGAAGTCCAAGGGCCCGAAGCCCAATATCCCAGGCTTTGGGAAGTTCCCCTTGTGTTTTTTCCCCTTAAACACAGGCTTAAATGAAGTGCTTTTTCACCAGTCCAGGAGCACTCTACCTGGTGGGACTATAATGAACTCAATGAGCTTGGCCTAATGACAGATTTCAAAAGGAAAGTAGATGTTAAGCACTTCTGATGGGTTCAGATTTCAGTCTATTTGTGCCCTTGTTCTTCATCTGTAAAATGGAGATACCATAATTCCTACTGTATCACATGAATGAAATGGAAACCATTCTACTAACAGACTGTAGAGATGCTTTAGATGTTCAAATAAGGAGTGTAGAGTATAGGTAGCTCAACTAAAATGAAGTCATCTACTTTTAAAACACAGTGTAAAAGAAACATTGCCAGCTATTGTATTCTTGACCTGCAATTCTCAGTAAAACAAAAAAACTGACTCATTTGAACATCACAATCATTTCAAATCTTGGCAAATGTCAAAAAGGAGTAGCCAGGTTTCAGCTGAGGAAAGGTCACCTTCAATTCTGCATTGCTCTCAGCTGCACGTATTCACACAGGTATCATATTCACGAAGAGCGATCATACAGGATTGTACAAACACTTAGTAGGCTACGGCTTTGATGAGGGTAGGTCTGCAGGTACCATCAGGATATAAACAACAGTATTATCCAACAGGGTAGAACACGCAGGCAAGCGTGCATGGGTGTTTTATATGACCAAGGCCTGATCCTGCTAATTAAATTCCTAGTTGGAGGGTAGATTTTTTCATCGTCTTACGTAGTGCTAAATTTTACCCGTGTGCTATCCACCATTAACCAAAGAAAAACTGATCACTCCATCATGATATAAATTGATCTCTCTGTGACTTGGCAAGGAGTCAGAGCAGTGATGATATTGACCCTGTAAGAATACTAGGTCTAATGCCCAGAGGCATTAACCTTTGTTTAACCAAAAGGTAAATCTTTTGATGAAAGGCAACATTTTATTACTATCCACCTGCAACAAATAGCTCATTTCTTACTACTATAACTCAACTGCTGGTACTGAAGAGCAAAACTTGCACTTTACTTTCAGAGGCTCTTGAGTAATTCGCATTGAGGTCATGGATCAAAACTGATCATTATAGCTGTAATGACCAAGTTCTGCAAGGTGTTATGCCTGGCACAGAGGGACGAATCCTGTAGAGAGAGATGGAGTTTGTGAACAAGTTGCATTAAGAATACTGACCAAGTTACAAGAAGAAGATGGCCAAGCAGGAAAGACGTTCTTGACTTCTGGGACAGTATTGAGCCTTACAATTGCCCCACTAATAATTTTTTCTGAGAGAACCCACATAAAACCGAATAATCACTTTTATTGTCTTCGTTCAGAAAGAACTGAAAATTCTAAAGCTGGTACATTTCCATAGCATTTGAATTAATGACTGGCAAATTTATGTTGCCAAAGGCCCATCAAGCACAGTCTCACCCCAATCACCATTGTTTGCTTCATCCTTGGCACAGTCTCTCATGTTTTGAAAGCATCTTGCCTTTAATCAAACACATTAAGCCAGCATTATGTCAGGTCTTTCCTTGCATGTTTCTCTGCTCGCTAAGATCAAGTTCTGCCCACAAGCACGGGTCCCTGCGTTGTCTCACAACAGATGTTTTTCTGGGGCATTCTGTGTACCCTGCCTTGGTTGTACCTGTTCGGCTTCTACCACAATACAGTCCCTAAGTTATGGTTTTCTCTCAGTAGAGTTTATTTTTCTTTATTAAAAGCAAATGTCATTGGGGCTTTTGAAATCTGTAGGCCTGCATGGTAGGCCACAGGAGAAGTACTGCTTTCCAAATTTAATATTCTTTAATGTGTTTGTTAACAGAACGCTGACATCTGCTTAATGCTTTCTTTACAGGAATCTATCAGATCCCCCTTTATGTTTTTCTTGCCAACCTCAACTATCAGCTTTTGCATGTATGAAACAGAACACAAATTAACAACACAGCTTAAAGCTCCAGAGTTAACATCTTGCATAAACCTTTCTTTTTGTTATTATTTTGGAAAGTGTATCTGCTCTTTCAAAAACTTTTAATCATGGTGATCTCATGCACTGAGCTGCTGTTTAAACAAAAGCCACCCATTTACTGTAAAGCTACAAAGCAGAGAAGAAAAGCAATGAACTAAAGGATAGATAGTTAATACATAGCTGTCCTCTTCATGCCAATGCTGGCTGCAAAGCTCAAGTACAAATCAGATGCTTCATTGGAGAGAATTTTTGGCAGCCTAAAAAGAAACAGCAGCAACTCAGGTGTGTTTCTGAACCTCGCTTATAAAAACAGCCTCACATACTGTAAACTCTCCCTTGCTATTTTTAACCCTTGGGCTCCCGTGGTTTGTTTTCATTTTGTCAAAGCAAAGGAATGCAAGAGAGATGTCTATTAGACTCCTTCACCCAGCCTGAGGGTTAATTACTCAGTTTGGTAGACATTTGAAAATATTATGTTACCTCTAACGGCAAAATTGATAGGAGCTTGTTTCAGGCTCACTTTATGTCATTATGGCAGATTAACTAATCATAAATTATGCTGGCTAAAGTACATCTGCTACTCACTAAACCTGCAGAGGGAAGGGAAGGGTATTTTTTTCTGAATAAGAAGTAAATGACATGTGGCAAATTAAAGACTTTTTCAAACCAATAAATATACACTCAAACAACAAAACCTGGAAGCACCCCAAAGATGGCAGTGACAGATTCTGAAGACCATGGCAGCAAGTCTAACACCGAAACTGTAGCTGCTGCAGAAAGGCACCAACGCTGTGGTGCTGCAGGGGTATATCCACAGATCTAAGAGTAAAGATGGTCCATTAAAGAATAAAAAAGCTCAACTAAAGAAGAATAAGCGCGCTCACATTATTGCTAGATGACTTTGAATACCAGTATGATGTAAGAGGTGCACATTTGCAGCCCCTACTTCTAATGTCACCTTCCATTTTCTGTCCAAAGTGGCTGAACGTACCATTTCTATGGGCTTCCAAGGAAAGGGTGGATATATCAGGTCACTGATTTAGAAGCTGATACAGATTTTACAGTGATCCTTCTGTTACCTTCCGCATTGCAGGGTGCAGATGTGGCAGCTGATACCATGTCAGTATGATTGAATTCCTAAACAGGGCATGGCCAACTGCAGTTAGGGATGTGTGGGAGGCAGGGACAGAAAACAGAGGCATTCAAGACCTCTTCTGTGCAGTATATAAAGTACTGAGCCGCTGTCTGTAAGCTCATGGTAGACTAGCTCAATCACATTAAGTGACGATTTTCTTTCTTTTGGAAGAAAATAAGGAAAAATGCAATGTAATATTATATTACACATGGATTCACATATGCAGTTGTCAGTTAAAAAGCAGAATGTTGTTTTGGGATGACCAGAGATCTTGCCCCTCTCTAGGAAACAAGCTTTGCTGAACACCTCCAAAAAGAGCGTAAGACAATTGGTCTCCCAGTGACTGTATTGAGAGGGAGGGTAAACAAAGGGTTGACAAACCTATTTTGTTCCTTCAGGTGCCACAGAGCCTCACAAATTTTTGGGGGCATCCAAACAGCCCAAAGTCAGTTAAAGTGTAAACTCTCAATATATTATAAAGTCTTCTGGAAAGGTGCAGCACCCTGTTCACTCATTCCCAGGTTCCCACTCCGTCAGTCCCCTGAGGCAGGTGACGCTCTTAGTACCATCCGAGTCCTGTTCCCTCATGTTTCCCTCCCATCTCTTGTTCTCTGAACAGTATTGCCCAAACCATCTTCTCTGCATGATGCATACAGCTACAAAAAAAAGCAGAAAAGAAATATGGCTACAAAAGGATTTAGAGGGAAGCAGCAAGGAAGGAAATTGTGTCCCTCACCAACACGCAGACGGCAGTAATGAGGTTTAGTCCTGCTATGAAAAAAATCCTAAAAACTTCCTCTGAAAATAAAAGAAAGCTTAGATCACAATCAGTCACTGGATAACCTATTTTAAGCCCATCAGAGCCAGTGCGCTGTTCTCATGTTGCTAATTAAAAATGATAGATTCATCAATTAATCTCTCTTCCTGTCCCCTAGTCTTGGTACGAGATTTTTCAAAGGGACAAATGGTAGTTAGGTGTCCACGAGTATCATTTCAGCCCTGAAAACTCATGCCATTGTCAACATGAAGCTGACCTTGTCTCTTCAGGTTATGAAATGACAAGAAGAAAACCATAGGAAACTTTGCTACTCTGAAAACCACAACAGATTTATAATTTAGGAATAATCTTATGCTCTGTATAATGAATATTGCTACATAAATCCTTCCTGGGCTCCACTCCGAACTTGCTCATTGATAGATAAATAAGCCTCTGTTAAATTTGGCAGAGAGAGATGTCCTAAGCTTAGGCTCTTGATTGAAACTCAATTGCAATATTTACTATGGAGCAGTCAGAGACACTCCACTATTTAGGAAAGAAGCAACAAAGGCAATCTATTTTTATTCACATTGAAATGGAGACAGAGATAAAGGTCCTGCTGTTAGCTTAGCAAAGTACCAGTCACATAAAGCAAGCCAATGAAATGGGTTATCTTTTCCCCTTTCAATATATGTATCGCCAGGCAGTGAAATAGAATTGGGGTGTACAAGGTTAACAAGCCAGCATCATGTTATGAAGCAAGCGATAAAATTGTCTTATAGTTCTTAACTCTGACCTGTTCCAGTGAAAAGCTGCCAAGCAGAATTATGTCATCCTGAACATCTCTCTCAAACTGTTCGATATATGAAGGAATCACTTCATCTTCAAGCTCCCTGTGAAGGTCACGTGCCTTACTGGAGCTGACAGGCATCACGGAGCCTGGAAAATCTTCACTGGCGACTCGGGCTGCTTGAAACAAAAGTGGCAGATTATCTCTCAGCAAACGGGAGCTCATTCCCTGGTTAGTACCTTCTCGGTTAACATGTTTGGCCCACCAACATTTTAAGACGACAATTCGTGCCATAAAATGAACAGTAATAAACAGAACAGTAGAACAACCAGCAGGTTCCAAGTGCTATTACCAGGAAAACTCTCCTCAAGAGCAACATCTGCATATGGGGGCAAATTTAGCATGTGCAGCTTGTTTCTTAAATAATTTGAAAAGGCCACACTCTGCATTTCCATGGTCACTTTGCTCCCCTGTAAATCTTAAAGGAACTGGGTTTTGGAACATCTTTGGCTTTCACTCCTGAGGAAGAAGAGGAATAACTGCAATTGGAAGGGAGATTTAGGTGGAGCCACACCAAGCATTTCATCTTCCTCCCACTCACCCCAGAGGATCAGATTCCTCCCCCAGGTGTGTGCATGCAGCTCCTGCCTAATTAATTGGGTCCGGTTCTGCTCTCACCCACACCATTCCCCTGATTTCACTGCGGTGACGTATGCAGAACCAAAGGGTACATGCTGCACATAAATAAAAATAAATCCCATTCATAAAGTCAACCTTAAAGTGAAGCCCTATCCCTTTTTCAGTTTAATTCATCATGCTGTGTATAAAACAGATCTCATTGATATCTACTACAGTACTAGTTTGGGTCATAAATAATAAAGACGACTATTTTTGCTCATTTCTCCACATTAAGATCACTAAGAAATGGCAGATATCAGGTTGTCCACTTCTGACTTCATCTTTCTTGCCTCATATTTCTGTGTGTAAGAGCCTGTTTTTATAGTTCTCTGTGCCTTTCTCGGCAAGAAACTGCCATATCTAGTTATTTGTTTTCCTCTTTGTCCATCCTAAGACATGAAAGCAGTTAAAAGATTTTTTTTTTCCCCTCACTCCCCTTTGAAGTCTCTCATTCTCTAATGAAGACCAGAAAAGGAAAGATAAAACTAAGGCTATTAAAATTTTCAGTTTTGCTCGCTGCTCATTGTTTAACGACTTTAATTGTTGAGCCTCCCGAGTACTTAAATCACCTCGGTGCCACCAACACACAGGAAGTAGGGTGGGTTTTTTATTTAATTACAACAGGATACAATTCAAAAATCATGTTGGGGGAAGCGTACAGTAGATATAAACAACCCAAACCATTACCTTAGGGTACACAATCTCTTTGTGTAGCATCTTACAAGCCTAATGAAAAGTGATTTGTCCTACAACTATTAACTGCAAAAACAAAACAATATTTACATTTAAATTTACTGTAACTTTAAGGGTTTGGCTAAGAGAGAGAAAATCCAGGAAGTGCTGGGAAAGGAAACGTTGCCAACAGCAGAAGATGCAGCGTCGCTTGTTCCCCTCGATGCTGTGTTGTACATGATGGGCCATATGCTCAGCTGGTATAAATCAGCTGCTTTACTGCTTTCACAGGAGCAGCACACACCTACATCCTGGGAAGAGTGTACATTCCTATCACAGGATCCTCTGGGTGTACCGAGGATAGTCCTCACATATCAAAAAAAAAAAAGGAGTAAAAACATTCCCTTCGCAAAGATGACCATGCAGGGATTCATCAAAACATCCTTTTCCTTTTTTGTGTTGATTATTTTTGCGAGGAATCGTATCAAGCGAACTCAAGTTTCGGTGGAAGACAGTGGGCTCATTTGCATGTGTTTTGTGGAAAAAGAGCAAAAGAAGAGAGAGAACATTTTCAAAAGCCTTTTCTCAGGAAATAACTGCTAAAATTACAGGGCTAAATTATGATCAGGATTTGAAAAATATTCGATGAAGAGATACATATACTCATTTAAGGACTGTTGGGAAAACCGATCATTTGCCTGAGCTGGAGACAGGGAGAGAACAGGGTTGTTCAGCTGGTCTGTTCCCTCCACACTGCCTTTGCAGAGGGACCCCTGAAACAGCTACCACCAAGGTTGCTCCTTGTCCGAACCGACCCCCAGGTTACAGGTCTGAGCTGCTGCCCCAGAGCAACGCTTGACCGAAACAAAACCTCCACCTCCTTGCTGTACAGAAGCAGCCACGATGTTAAAAGTGTTACCAGTTCATATGCACGAGACGAAATGGCTGAAAATTTATGAGGAAATTCATTGATAGACTGATAAACTAATTAAAAACTGGCTGCTTCAAGTTGTTAACATTTGCATCAAACTTCTCATTGCCTCAGCTGTACCTAACACTGCGAGTCATACTGTCCACATAGTTTAAATCACTTCTCCTTAGCACAGGCTGTATTTGCAGATGCTGTGCTGTAATTAAAACAATCTCTCCGGTATTAGCTTGGCTGCTTGTATCTCCCTTTACTCCTGCATTTGTCCATCAGATAGCAGTGGTCTGTATACAGAGATGAGAATTTAAAGAGTAGGTTCACCAGTGGACTACACCTCAGCATGGGTTTGAATGTATAAAGTAGCTATAAACTCCACATAGAAAATGCATTTTGGCTGCCTGGTTCTAGAAGACTCTGTGTATAAATTGTAGTCTAAAAAGTACATCACCAAAGGCTCGTGCACCAGTTTCAAACAACTACAATGCTGCAAAACATTGCACTTCATTTTTTTGGTCATTGCCAAAGAATAATATAATAGAAAATATTTTTTATGGTATTCACCACCTAGCATCATTTCAGATGTGCATCGATCATGATCTTACATTGTTTGAGATATTTTATCCCTAGGTAAAAAAAATATACAGCCAACATCGTTGTCTAAAAAACAAACAGCCAACATTGCCTTTTAAGTTGCCTTATAATATGAACTAATACATACCACGAGTGACCAACAAGTTACTCAGCGATAAAACGCTTTAAATATACAATTATATAAATTCTGAGCCATGTTCTTTCCTTTCCTTTGGGGATCATCTATTAATTAGGACTGTATGACTACGTGATTTTTCAGCTCAGTGGTCAAATGAAGAAAAGGAGCAGTTCTGTAGGAGTGCAACCAAAGGAATCCTAGTTTTCTATGGATTTTCTGATGTCTAATAAGGGTCAAACTCCCATATTAGCTTTTCTCTCAGCGGAGACATTAATAATGCTTGTCTGCTCTGCTCAGCTGCCCGCTTCCATAAAACTGGTAGGGAAGTCAGGCCTGTGAGACTTGCTCTCTGTTAAAAAAAAAGGGGGGGGGGATTGGAAGCGAACAACAGGTTCAAAAACTGGGAGGGAGAAACACAGATGGGCAGACATATATACAACCTGATATAGGCACACAGAGGTGGACCCTGCACAAGCCTCGCTTCCTCAGGAAAATCTTGTTCTTTTCTGGATTTTATTCACCCAAGCCAAGAAAAGTAAAAAAATTCAGCTAGGATGGAGCACAACACTCACCTGCCAGAGCAGCTCCGATACCCTTTATGTCACTTTTAAGAAATAAAAGCACTGAGGCACCGCTCCAGACGCAAGACAGCAGCAGGCTGCAGTGTCCCTACAGTGCCTACAACGGGGGGCTCCGATGTGCTCCTGGAGGCCGAGACACACATGTTAAATGCCTTCGCTTGCCCTGGCATTGAAGCAGCGAGCTGGCAGCTCGGCAACCTCGGCAGCCTCAGTGCGAGATCACCGTCTGCAGAACACCACCACGTACGTTCAGGTGGCTTTGGATGGATGAGAGATTTGAACCTGTCTCACACCCCAGGTAGCCAAACAGTAACAAGAGAATTTTGCCTCTCCTGTTGTTTTAATAAGACCAGTTGGAGAAAAAGGCATTTTTAGTTCAGACATACCTGGTGAGTTTAAATTATAAATATTTGAGGAGATCAGTGAAATCCCATTTCTCTCCAAATACGCTATTTGCTATTATCCTCTGTAAAGCATCTGTTCATGTTAACAATATTCATTGTTATGTCAAATATTCATTCCAGGTCACAATTTGTCTAAATAGCTAAGGAGCATCCATGTGAGGTGGGCTGAACTGCTGCCCAGAGGTGCCTCTCTCCCCCATCACTTTGGGGGAGCCCCAGCAGCTAACTTTCAGAAAACTAATGGAAAAAGTACTGCACCCCACCCTGGGGCAGCCGGTAAAATGACATCAGAACATTTTCCTTAATCATACAGCATTATTTTGATGATAAAGCTGTTGAAGCATATGAAATGCTATAAATATTGTTAGATGGGAACAACGTAAGCACCACAGATAGACAACACAAGTCAGTATTTCCTACAGAAATAATGTTGACTTCACAGCTAAACTTGTTTTTATTTTAATCTATGTTGTTGCAGGATAAAACCAACAATCAATCTGCAGCACTGCTATAAACTTTCTCAGCAATGGGGAGCTCTACATTAGCATGCAACAACAGAGAGCTTGCTAATAATTTGTTAAAGGTTTTTGCTTAAACTATCTGCATGAATTTTGCTGCGATGGTTGTACTTTCTTTTCCTTGCATTTCAAGTGAGACAAAATGGGTTTCAAAGACATTACTGATATGCCCAGTGCCAGTTCAAGGGATTTTGCAACCCTAGGCAAATGAAAATGTTTGCCTCTTCTGGAACAAAGTTGCTCAGAGTCATAAAACATGTTGCAGCTCCTGGAGCTCCAGTGCTGTAGGCAACTGCCTGCTCTGTCTCTCTGACAGAGCAGGTCCTCTGTATATCTGAAATATAACAGGAAACCTCATGCAGATACAAAGAACAGAAAATGCTTTTGCACAAAAGACCTCTGCTTGAAAAGGAGGGGGGCGATACTCAAAAATATGAGGGCAGCCCTGAGCAGGGGCTTGTTCATATGCCACTTCTCCTAGGATGAACCAGAGGTGAGCAGCAAACAGGCACCTTGTGTAAAGGCTGTGGCGGTAACGGTCTCGTGAATCAGCTGGGTGTCAGGTAACACCAGTGAAAATAAGTGAAGCCAAAGTAAGGCTGTTGCTTGAAGTGAAGAAATCTCTTCTCCTGCACTTCGTTGTTCTTACTGTAGATAGACCATCAATTTGTATTTTCTAACAAAGCCACAAAAAATACTTTCTTACTCACCTGGTAGCGTAAAACCTTAGGTAGCTAGCCTCAAACACTGTGATGTGACCCATGCATCTGACAAAATGGCCCACCCGTTTATGAGCTTGTATAAGGATTTACATTTCTAGCTTTAAGCACATAAGCAATGGTATTTCCAGTCGTCTTTCGTAAGGGTGGAATTCAACATGCAATGAAGCAGCCTAGAGAAAGCATGCCACTTAAGTTACACTTAAAACCACATAAACACGACTCAAAACAAAAAACATTTGGGGAAAAAGATCTTACAGGCTCGCATTAAAGTCAATGTCCCCTTTTGCTTCTGAGTTCAAGGGGATGGATTACCCATTCTCCTTCCCACATCCAGACTCAAAAGAGTTTTATTTTTCTTTATGTGAATGATTTTGTTACTTACCTTGGAAGTCCAGCATCTTGCTTTCTTCATCTAGAAGCTTCATCAGTTTACCGTACAGAATTTGCTCATCAAATTTCACAGGATCTTAAAAAAAACAACAGTGAAACATGTATTGTTTCTTCCAGTAGTATTTCAAGAAACACTACTTTGAACTATAAAGATATAAAAAACCAAACTTCAGAAACATTTGACACTTAAGAATAGTTTTTACAGTGCCAGTTTCATAACAGAGGTGATTGCCATTTTCTTCTGAGTTATGAAAGACAGTTTAAAACAAAAAATATATAATCATATGCTTTGAAATGGTGAGCAATATTACAATTTGATCTGGACTGAAAAGGGTTTACTAATTCTGCTAATAGACTAGTTGAAATGATTATTTATGTTCAAATTGCCAGATGAATTCTATTTGACTCTTTATTTTCTAATGTGATCTTGGATTTTTACCAGAAATTTTACCTCGCACTCCATAATACTAACATGTTATCTAGTATAAGTAGTCATTGCAGCACGCTATGAATTTTGGTTTTCTGGCTGGTCAGTCATTCAAATTCCCAGTAACACCTGAAGATTTCAAAAAGGAGCAAGGGACACACACACGTACCTTTTTCCATGAGACCTAAAAAAATCACTTCAAGTGTCTATATTAAATGTAGAAATGACCAGTTGAGACTGTCTTCTCTCCAGATATCACAGGCCCTGGCTTCTCTAAGTTGTCAGTGAGGACAGGCAGGTAGAAGGCCAAAGAAACGCATACAAGGTAGGTGAATTGAAGTACAGCTACAAGTGACCTTGGGTGGCTCTTTCCAAGTGCCCAATAGAATCTCAAAAAATTTTCTTTACCATGAAATTTCAGAGCCAAATTTTTCATTCAGAAAGGGAGGCTTCCGCAAACCTCTTCTGCAAGTACAGAAGCTTTTACATTTCTTTTAGCATATAACATTGAAATGTTCCCTTGTTGAGGGAGGGAAGCAAATCCATAGTGGGGTGGTGTTTGTTCTCAGGGCATTATCAACTCAGACAAGTTTCCAGAACAAATTTAATTTATCAAATATAGAAAAGATAATTGCTAATGTCTTCATTTTCGCAGAATAACCCATTAAAGAATCCCATATGATGAACACATTAAAATGATATTTAACTTTGTATAATAGAGTTAGTGGCTGAAGATTTGCTTTTCGCCAGGTATTCTCTTTGGGCATTGGGCCTGACTTGCTCAAGTCATAAGAAGAGTGCAACTTTAAAGTGTGCCCTGATTTCTTCATCTGCTTTTGTCTCTTGTTAGTGACAAGCTGCTAGCAGGAAAGAGGTGGTAAACCAATATGGTTTCCAATCAGGGAATGACCACGCAGGACCAGGCTTCAGTTCTGACTCTCCTTATAACTCCGTCCACTATGTAGTGCATAACATGGCACTACGTCCACTATGTAGTTCCACTTATTTAACATTTCTACAAAGAAAAAGAACCCAACAAGCCTGGTTTGTGAGTATCACTGAATCAGACTGGCTGAGGTGTGAGGGGACCTCTGGAGGTCATCTGGTCCAGCCCCCCCTGCTCAAACAGGGCCAGCTAAAGCCAAGTGACTGTGTCCAGAGAGCTTTTGAATATCTCCAAGGTAGAAAACCAGCTCTTGGCAGAGGTGTTGATAAATAGGGCATTTTAACTGCTCTGCAGATGTCAACACAACCAACCTGGGGCCAGTACCATTGCTAACAGAGCTGTAATAAACAAGTGTTACCCCAACCTCTTAGTGACATTTTTGCGATATACAAGTGCCTAAAACCACCTCTCCACTCCCACCCCAGGAACTAGATGGACTTTCTCAGAGCTTTCATCTGTTCCGAATTTAAAAAAAAAAAAACAAACAAACAAAACCCACGAACATTTAAGGTTAAGTGTGTATAACTCAGCCTCTTCACACAGGCAAGAGGACATTTTCTCCCAATTAAAACTGTACTTCCATGTCTCCCTTATGTCACCACTCTATCTGTACATGTTTTTAGGCACACACGTACAGTTGCAGGTATCTAATCCGGTTTTCATTCTCTGGTTATGAAGCAGACCATGACACAAAGTCTATTCATAGGATAAACCAAGGCAGTACTAACAGAAAAAAAAAAATCTTTCATATAAAAACTGAGCCAGAAGTTGACTTCCAAGGTATTACACTGCTGTAACACCCTGTACAATGAATGGGGAAATTAAGGGGGTTAGATGTAATTCATCCTTGATAAAACGTTGATTTTTTTCACCAGTACACAGAAACTGGGGTTACTAATGTGCATTAGAGCCTGCTTTTCTCAGTCACATGGGGTTTTGCCTCAAAAGTTTAAACCTCTATATCTACTCAAAGCTAGTTTGTCATGAATTTCGGAAGTGACCTACTTCGAGACCCTTTAGAGTAGACAATTTTCTTTTTTAGATTTGACTACAACTGCATGTCTAGAGATTCTCTGCAGTACAAATAAGCACAAGGTTTAAAAAAGCGAAGGGCTAGGAAGGTAACGCAGAAGAACTGCCTCTTGCGTGCTATCGGGTTGTTAGTGCTTAACAACAGGAGCTGGGCCAAAGCATGCGGTGCATAGGTAAGCACTTCATTACCATGATGATGTTCTCACTTAAGTCCATGCAAATTCAGGCAGGCCCATTCCCACCCTTTTTTATCTAAAAGCCATGACAGCAAAGGAGAATTTCTTCTGCTAGACAATACCTCCTGGTTAATCTCTCTCATACCTATGCATAACTTCTGTTCTCCCAGCTCTGCAGAGTCACACCCTCCCACACCTCCCTATCGCCCACAGACAGCAAAGCTCAACATCTCGGCTAAACCAGCAAAAAGAAAGCCAGAAAAGCCTCCTCGTGTGCTGGGAACTTGTACGGGCTCTGGGCTTTCCTTCTCTTAGGCAAACACACGTTCAGCTCAGTAATAGAATTGCTCTCCAAGAAGGACTTTGGGAACAGGGTTGCAAAAAAGCTATAGCTTAGTACTCAGTTCTGGACTAACTTTGTTAATTAAAGAGAACATGGTGTAGACAGCGTTCTCTGAGCCTGCTTCATTTTGCTATGGTAGCAGAGTGAGTACAGCACAGCCTCGCTTTTACCTGTCCATTAACTCACTGTCCTTGATCAAAGACTACGTATACTGCCTATCGTGTTTGGAGCGGTTAAGGCTTATAATTTAAATTGTAAACCTCAATATTTAAATAGAACTGCATATGTGATCTTTGTCACCTCATTTTCATGAATGGAAAAGAATATTCTGACACCAAAATTACATACTTAATTCTGCCTCACCTTCCTCACTGACCTCCATCCCACACTGCCTTGGGTTTATTTCCTCATCCATCAACGGGTCAAAGTAATTTCTGCTGTATTCATTTCCTGTGGAAAGCACATGAAGTAAGGGTCAGCGATTATTAGAAGCACATGAACCAAAATGTTAATTTTGAAATCGACACCAGCAAGCAAAGGGGCATTTTTTGCTACTTTATAAGCTTAATTTTTTTAACAAGTCCTCTAAGACTACTAGTACTGCAATTATCATCTTGTGAAAGGTCAGAAAAGGTAACGCTGGAAACAAGTGCACTTTATGTTACCTTTGCTCAGGAACTAATGAGAAAAATTCTCAAATTTAGATGACAGAAAGATAAGAAAATTTTAAAAATCCAGCATCCCCAACATAAGCCAAATTATTCTTGAAACACATTGTACAAGTGAATTACCCATGCTGCAGAGGAATTTGTGTTTCACAGCTGACCCCTCCAATTTCAACAGTTTTAAATTTCACCACTGAGGTTTCAACGTCTGGTGCATCTTTAATACTGTATTCAGCCAGAGAAGTGTTTAATTACAGAGGAGATACTAGAATACTGCCTCATTAATCTGCACAGCAATTATATTCAGTTGGGCTAGGTAACTAATCCAAGATTTTGATGGGATAAAACCACTCATTTTAGCATTTTCCATTTCAACAACTACTTTTATCTGCTCTTTAGAAACTAATCAAGTTTATCAAAAAAAGTCATTTGTTAGACTTATCGAGGAATAATGCAGCGTCTAGCTGCCTAGAGGAACTCCCAGTAAAAGCCAGAAGAATTTTCTTTAATCAAGGGAGTAGGAAGGGCTTTTTCCTCCAAATATGTCTGTCCTTCAGCAAAAGTGCTACACACTATTAAAACCATCCTCACATTCATCGGGTTTGCAAGCACAGTAAATTATAACTAAGCAGAGAAAAAGTAAAATAATTAAGTCCATAACAAATTTTAAAATTGCTTGAATAGACATAAGTCTTTATTCTGGAAAATACATAAGAGCTAAATGTACAAAGGTATTAATTCATCCAAGATACACTATAGCAGTCTATGGTGTATTTGTTTTAGGCTCAAAAATAATCCAAGCAGCAGCTCCTTTTCAGAGACTAAATGAAACTTTGATATGAAACTAGGTTTAATTTATATTTCTGGACCAGCACATTTTGACTGTCAGTCTCTGTTCCTTCAATGTAGTAAGTACAAGAACTGAAAATTTGCTTTACCTTGAGGTCTCAATAAAGAAAAAATAAATGAGTTTCATTTTTGTTACTTTATCTGTCAACAACTACTAGGCTGGTATGAATCTTGGCAGTATGTAATCAAAGTCTTATGTACTGCAATAACAGAGCCATTCTACCTTATTCACTGTAATTGTTTTTCTCTAGCACAAAGCACCGTGATGTTATATGAACACCCTTTCACATGTTGGTAAAATAATTCACCCATGTGCTAAAAAAGAAAACGATGATGCATTTCTTTATTCAGTTACTTCATAGCTGTAAATGTAAATTGCTGGAAAGCACGTTGCAACCTTATAAGCAATACTCAGCTGGTGCATAGGCCTTTTGCATGTTCTTAATATCACAATAGCTTTTATTAAATTTTAATACCCCATGTTCTTTACCCTGTGGGTCTGGTGTGAAACTCTGAGGAGCAGACTTTTGGGCAAGTGTTCTGGACAGAATAATTGGCATTTAGGAGGAAGTGTCATGTTATATTTGAGTCTGCGAGGCATGGAAACCATTATTCAAAAGAGAGATACACTGACAAATACCATTAAACAGCTTGCTCTTTAGTCCTCTTTAAAAAAAGAACAAACTCAACCCTTCTTTGAGGAGTATGAGATATTTCGTCCACAGTTTTGGCCTTGTCAGAACCACACACAGCTGGAGACAGAAAGTTATGCAGAAATAAAAAGAACTAGGCTTGATTTCTTCACAGCAATGCACAAACTTTAAAACCTACATAAGTAGAGTGATAAATGCCAGAATTACCTCCGTATGTTGATTTTATAGATAACAAGCCATTTTAAAATGCAGGACTCCACAGAAAACTTTCAGTGAGGCTTTCTGAAGGGTTGAAATCACTGCAAACCTTAGATCACTGCTCTTGGAGGCTTTTTGTGGGTTTTTTGGTCGTTTTTCCCCCCCTCAGCTTAACTACAAACTTATCAATTTTAGTCAACATAACATACTGCCCAAGGCATTCTGCTAATAACATTTTGTGAGCATGTGAACAGATTACTAATCATTTCACATTTGCTTTTGCAAATATTTGAAAGTGTATAACATGTAAATTAACAGTCCACTAAGGAATTCACATTGCTCTGCTTCATGGTATAAACACAGTAAAGTAAATGTTAATACAGAGCTTGCTTGCAGGTATTTTGAACAGCAGTGTATAGCTTGGTGCTTTCAGACAGCAAGGTACTTTGAATACCTAATCCTACAAAGACTCGGCCAACTTCAGAAACTTAGGTCTTTGCTTTGATCCAGAGGTTTGCTCAAACCCATTAACTCAATTTGAAACCCTATTCACCCCTCAAAAATATATTATTTCACGTGGAAAACACGATAGATAATTCAGGAAATCAGAATTGAAGCACAAAACTACAGATTATCTGTAAATTCAAATAAAAATGGAAAGAAGGGTGTTGGCACAACAGTGACCAGGTGGGAATTTATACAGTTTAATTAAAGCAAGAGGAGTTGCTAATAAAATTAACATAATCCTTGGATGCAGCCCATGGGACTGCACACGTACTACTAGGACTGGATGAAACTCTAAGATGGCTTTTAAGATGAGATGTCTGTAGTCAATTATACAGTCTATGTCCTGAGAATACCACAGAAATGGCATGACTAAACTGAATTTCTACAATGTCTTCTACTCCAGAAAGTGACCAGGTAGCCCATATCAATATCACATCAAGGGAATGGCATGGAATTTGGATGACAGGCAATTATTCCATTCTTACTGTACCACTGATCTGGGAATTTAGTTTAACAAAAAACAGAAAAAAATTCTGTTGGATTTGTTAAGTGCCTCCTGACCAATGTCAAAAATGAAAGTATTGTTAATAGCCAGGTGACTGATTACTCAAAGCTTGAATAAGCATTTACTGACGCTTGTTTTCAGCATGATGCTGGGTCTTGGGGATAAAAGCAAAAAATATGGTATGAGACAGCTTTCATTAGAAGTCAGAATGCAGCTTATGGCCTGAGCAAACTTGCCTTATTAAGTAACAGCTCTCCCTTTTCAGGCAGCAGCGTGGTCAGTGTGTCTCTACCAACGACTTGGTAAGACATTGCTGGGCAGGCAACTCATAAAAGCCTTTTTTATAAGACAGAATAAGACACATAGGCATTTTGGAAAGATGAAATTCCAGTCCAAGACAGCATTTTGACCTAAAGTGCTTTAGAAACATAGTGATGCAGCCGGGAACAGAAGAGAGTGGTCCTCCTTTCTACACAGTTGTCTTAAAGCATTGATTTCTGTAGCAATTCCTGTTAGCGAACATAGTCATAAATACTCACTGTCTCCATTCAACAGAATTGAACTTATTTAGCTAAGGACACTTTTCATTTTACTTTGCGGATACGGCTCTTTGGGCAGCCCAAACATAAGGTTCTGTGCTAGCACATTTTCTGGTTTCTTTATGAGAAGAGTATGCGATCGCACGAGCCAAAGCGGCATCTTGGGGCTTCAGGAGGAAGGGGAGAGAAGGCTCCCACCTCCAGCATTATCCAACTGCTTCCCTTCTTCACCACCTATCCTCAAGACATCTGAGCTGTGACAAGCACTCCCACTCACCTGTTTTCATGATTCAGTACCTACATTGGCAATGCTTGGTATCAGCAAGTTACTTCTTTGCAGATACAGGCCTTTACTTCTAATCTGCGCTTTGGGGAAGAAAAAAAATCTATAGATAACTATAAAAAAATAATTCAAAGCAATTAAAGCATAGGAGAGAATTAAGAAGCCTGCCCCCTTAAAAAACTTCACAGAATGCAGAAGTGAATAAAAATAAAAATCATTAACCAATACTGCATAAACAGTGAGAGTTCCTGGAAAGTGAAAAACTGTCTGGATTTCCAGTGAATTTACAGGTTCTTAGTTGATTTAAACGATGATTTAAAACTGGAAAATAACCTAGGAAAGTTTGAAACTTTCACAAGAAACATTTTGAGTTTTTATTCCAAAATATTGTGTTGCTAGATTTACTCACACCTAAATGTTATGAAGATGCTAAAAATAAAACTTTAGTTTTGAAGAATATAGCCAATTGACATGTAATCCACAAAACAACGTTAACACTCCATTCTCACTTTGGTGAGAAAAAAACCCAGACAATTGTTATGAGTTAACCAGAAGTTGTACTTTTAAGTTTGGATTTTTAATTGTCATTACTGAACCATGATATCTGTCACGTTTACCTCAGCTCATGGCCATTATAAATATCTTTAAATTTATATAGGCTTATCTAAGTTACACACAGAAGCTAAATGCCTTAATTAAGAACTATTGCTACTGTTTTAGATTTACATCTAACTTTATAGTTTATAAGTATAGATAAATATTATCTATGTTATTTTAGATGTAGATCTAAAATAAGATTCCTGAGAAGCACAAAGTTATTCCAGATTATCACCAATTACATGGGGGGGGTAAAATATTGTACGTAGAACTTCAAATTTTCATGAGTACCAGGCAGAATTCAATGAAAAATTACAAGTTAATGGCATCCTCAAGCTGAAGAGCATTACGCAAGTTAACAGGAGATTGTATCTTGAAAACACAGCTTGTTAAATACTACCATCACCGGGCGACTTCTCAATTTTTAAAAAGTTTTAGAGGTATCGTATGTCATTTTCCTTATCCTCAGCGGAGCCCACGGTTAATAAGTAAACCACATAACTGTGTCTTATGTTTATACTGCAAGCCTTGAATAAACTCACTTGTCAGCTTTGACAGGACCTGGCAAAGGGGCCGTTCGTGAGCCTGAGCAGCACAGACCCTGCTGCACCTTCCCAACACTTGGAAAACACTGCACTGCACTCACAGCACCCA